AGTTTCTTCAGACATGATGCATGGAACATGCCTGCCTCTTGTGGTTACTGTGAAAATGAAGTAGTTGTGTCTGTGAAGCCGAGATGGCATGGTCATCACTATCAGGTAACTTGGTTAATCCAGGCTTACTCTCTGCCATTAGAGTCACTGGGAGGGCTGTGCTTTTCCCCAAATACAGGGAGACAGAATGGTTGAGAGCTCCACCACTGAACTGGGGCCAACCAGGGCTCTCAAGGCTTCCCTGGTCTTGGGGATCTCCTCCATCAGCTTTTCCTGGTCTGATTGGGTCATTGCTTCAATAGCTGTACAGTCTTGGCCAAGTTATTTAACCTCTCTAAGCCTCAATGTCTGCATCTCTGAAGGAGATCCTAGGACTCATCATGCTGGGTGACCTCAACCGTAAATCTGTTCGGAACATGTAGCTAGCCACTGCATGAAGGCTGTTCGGTGGGAGCTGAGGACAGGGTGTAGCCCTGTGTCTTTGAATTCTGGAGCACTTGGGCCCTCCATCCTGTGAGAGTCAGACAAGGCCAGACTGGGGACAGGCGTTAGCTGTTGGTGCTATAATAACACTAGCAGGAGCGAAGCCATTCTAAAGAGAAAGGCACCTCTGCCCTTTCTTTGGCAATCAGGATGGTGAAACAAAGGTCTCTAGGGAGTTGAAATTTCCCCAGAAAGCTCATGCGAGTCGAAGGGAAGGGCTAAAGCCTGGCGCCAGCCAAAGGAGAATCTGGTCTCTCATGGAGATTTATGACCACATAGACTGCCTATCGCTGGTCAATGATTTTAATCCTTATCTTTAAACTTAGGAGTTTCTTTCTTTCTTTCTTTCTTTTTAATTTGGTTTTTGGTTTTTCAAGACAGGGTTTCTCTGTAGCTTTGGAGCCTGTCCTGGAACTAGCTCTTGTAGACCAGGCTGGTCTCGAACTCACAGAGATCCGCTGCCTCTGCCTCCCGAGTTCTGGGATTAAAGCCACCACCGTCCAGCTAATTTAGGAGTTTCTTGCTCCACTAACTGAGCTAGCTGGGCATGCACATAATGTTACACTTAAACTTTATATTAGCATCCCCCAAGACAGCTATGGGGATCTCTGGGACTCTGTGTTGCTCTTTCCAGTGTGGTCACGTGGACTGAATCTCTTCACAGCATGTCTCTCTAGTTGGCATATTGAGGACAGGTGGCCAGGCCTAGCTTGGTAGAGCTGCCAAGGCCCAGGTTTTGACCCCCCAAAACACAATGCTGCATGTCGCCTTGGTCGTCTCAGATCCAGTCAAGGGTCTGCTCCAATGTCACCCGCTCCTTAAAGGTGGGGCTCAGCAGCACCAGGTGTGGAAACAGTCACCACAGGGAGAGGCTGGGGGAAGATCTGAGCTGCTTCAGAAACCCTGCTCCTAGATGCATCAGCTGAGTGCCTGCACCCCCTCTTTCCTTTGGGCAAAGGCTTTAAGATGGGAAACGGCTGAAGGAATATCTGTCTCCCCCAGCCAGCCAGTTTCTGAAGAAGGGGCCCTCTCAAAGAAGAAAAGGACAGTGTGAGGCTGACAAGAGCCTGGGAATCCAGTTGGAGCTTACTGTAAGAACTATGAACTGTTTTTTGGGAGCCCTTCCTGGGTCCACATCCTGTCTGAGCTGGACCCTGGAGAGCTGACTGAGAACACTCTCAAGTCCTTAGAGAAGCCACACGGATACTTGTTGGGTTCTTCAAACTCTTTCGCTGTCAGATTCCTCTAAGGTCAACTTACACAGGCCCAGATCAGAATGTGTTTTGGCTCGCCTCAGCTCCATCTGCCACTTGAGGCTGCTCCTCAAGCCAAGACCGTGCTCTGCTCATCCCCCCCCCCCCCGCCCACTCCAGAAGGCCGTATATGCTCATATTGCACGACTATGCCACATACAACTACGCCCCACACTGACCCTGTGGCTTACATTGTGTGATGTGCCTCAGTACTGGTGTGTACCCCACAGGTTCCCTACTGGGTCCTGATCTCTGACCTCCATTGATCTTTTGGTTTCCCCTCCAGCCACTCATACCAGCTCAAGTCATGCAAGCCCCTGGGAACCAAGCAGAGACCCAGAGGCACTTGAAGCTTTCTTAACTAACTAAACAAAAGCCAAGATAGGCAGGGTATGGTTGGACATTCCAGTACTCTCAGAACTTGGCACTTTGGAGGTAGAGACAGAGGATTAGGAGTTCAAGGACAGTCTATGTTTAAAAACAAACAAACAAACAAACAAACAAAAACAGCGGGAACCACAAACAAATGAAAACCCATGGAATCACGGGTCTATGGATTGGCTAGATTTGGTGAAATGGGGTTAATCCACCAATAGAAATAAGGCTTACACACTCTAGCCTGCTTGGATCTTCCTAGGGGATGCCAGCCCTGTGCACCTTCCCCCAGGACATTCCCTTAAAGCCCGCCCCCCCCCCCCCCAATCACCAGTAACCCTGCACACACAGACTAAAACCCCAAGAAGCAGCAAGTAAGGCAGCCTAGCCTTGGCGTCACGGGCAGAGCTCAGTTACTGAGACTGCCTATGACTGGAGGAGTAAGCTATTTTAGAACACGGGGTTTCCCCCTGTTAGTCAGGGACAAGAGCAGAGAGGCAGGAAGTGCAGATGCTTGCTGAGAAAAGGCGGTCAGCCAAAGAGATGGACTCTTCCTCTGAGCCCACAAGGCTACCTCTTGCCTTTCCTGCCACCTTCTCACAGTTCCTTCTGCCTCAATGATCCAGCCTCCCATCACCCATGCCCCTTCCTCTTTAGTGTGAGCATTTGCTCCCATTCCTACCAGCTTCTGGTCACCAAAAAGCGGGCAACCCTTGCTCCCAGCCCAAAGACGCAGAGGCAGACACGGGTTGGACTCGAGTCACCCGAAGATGGCTATTTATAAATCCCCAATAAGCACAGATCTCTCTCTGGTCAGCTGGCCACACGGATGCTCCACATGACTGGTGGTGACTCCGGGGCTAAGGTAACCCTCAGCCCTACAGGGCAAAATCGAACACTTCCGTTGTTACTCCGACAAACAGGCCTAGGGGAGATTTCATGACTTGCCAGTTGCTGGCCCTCACTGTCCTGCTCTCAAACTTTCCTTTATTCTTCCTAAATTTGTTTTAGTTTTTTATTTATTGACAAGGTATAGTGTATTTCCATTACTCCTACCCCCTTTGCCCTCTCTCGTTCCTCTCCCATCCCAGCTGACTCCTTCCTCCAGCCTCAAGCTTCAAACTTCCAACCTGCACGTCTTTTTGTTTGTTTTGTTTCGAGGTGACCCACTGAATTTAGAGTCGCTTGCACGAGCTGCATTGCTGTTGTGGGTGTGTGTGGGTTACTATTCTACTTGACTCCAGGAGCACTTGCCCCGCGGGCAAGTCAGCAACCTTTTTCTGTAAAAGATCACACAGTTGATTTCGTATTTTCACACTGCACGGTCCGGGCAGGTGTGTAAAAGCAGCCTGGCTGTATGCAAATGAAGGCGCTGGGCTCTGTGCCAGCCCAGCTTTATTTACAAATCCAGGCTCCCAGTCACAGGGCATTCAGTCAGCACTGTTTCCCAGTGCTGGGCGTGCACATCTGACTCCTGGGTTTACGGAGGCAGTTTAAAGTACTGAGTAGTATTTTTTAATTCTATTACATTTTCATATATTTATATTCAAAAATGTTCTCATCACTCACTAATTCTTCTTCATCAAAAAAGAAAGAAGGAGAGAAAGAAAGAAAGATGAAAGCAAAAAGAAAGAAAAGAAAAAGGATGACTTTCCACTGGGCAAGCCTGACTCTTAGGGAATCTGGTTGGGCTCCCTGGGGTGCATGAGGACAGGCAGTCTGCTGAGGGCTTTGTGTTGGAGACCCATGTGCTTTCAAAGCCTATCACTCAGAGTGCCAGAAAGTGTCCCCATAAGCCAGCGTCTCTCTCTGTTATAGCTGGGAGTGACAAGGGAGTCGTCTCCTTCAACTCTGCTGTGAAACCTGGGACCCCCGTGGTCCCGTTCGGCAGCGCAAGGACCAGACAGACCCGCAAGCACGTGCGCGCTCTGCCGTGGAGGAGCTGAGTACCCTGACAGAGACGTGGGAGGACAAAGTCACACACACACGCCCTAAATCTTCTGTTCATGGTCCACAAAGCACACTCAGCCCCCGAGAGCCCGAGCCCTCAGCGTGCTCTTCCCTGCAGACGCCATCCTGCACATCTCAACACTTGCAGCCCTCCCCAAACAGACACCCCTTCCACTAGCCGCTTAAGACTCCCTTGACTGTGCCAAGGAGCAGGCGAGTGTGCAGACTGTACCTTCCGTTCTCCACGTGCGTCCCAGCTGCTTGTTCCACAGGCCTTCCCAGGATCTGGAGGGTACCCGGCGCTGCTCAGTTGTCCAAACTTTTGTCCCCCTTAGCCACGCTGCCCGGAAAGGAGAGGAAAGAGGATTCAACCCTCAGACTGCCTGCGTCTCACCCAAGTTACCCATTTGAGCAAAATCAGTGGCCAGAAGCTGCTAGATATGGAAAGCCCAGAAGCTTACCCAAACAGAGACTGGCCTGGGGAAACCAAATGGTGTTCTTGGTGGGGAAGAGGCAAACAGTCTGCTCTGCAACACCCGCGTGGTGTCAAGTAACAGTCAGATTAAACAAACAGCCTCAGAGGCTATTTTTACATCCAGATCAGCCACGAGTGACAGATAACTTGGGGAGTGAAAACTGTTTGCCCATTCAGTTGGACCCTCACCACGAGTCCAGCTTCAGTTCGGAATGGTCTCTAAAGCTACCCCAGAGCCTAGATTCGAATAAAACTATCTCCAAGTGGGAAGGAAAACACTTGTCTCAAGAAACGTTAAGAACATGATAGTGTGTGCCCCAGAGTCAGCCGCGGAGGCCTGCTGATGTCCTAGAGCAGAAATAGCCTGTTTCATCATCGGCTCTGGACAACCACGGCCTGCATTCCTCGAGTAAGGAGCTGTACTCTGCCGTGCTTTTGGAGCAAAAGAATCTGGCCCGCCGCAGGCTGGGGGAAGGCTGGGCTGGGTATCAAGGAGGAGAGGTGCAGAAGGATGTGAACTACCCAGGGGAGAAGAAGGTAAGGGTCCACTTGACAGCTTGGCCCTGGAGTTTGCAAGACCCGAGTACCAATGACAAATCTTTCCTGTCAGTCCAGGTCTCCCCTTTCCTTCTCTGGGAAGCCCCCCCCCCCCCACTTCAAAGTCCCAAGATGAGGTCACACCTGCCTTCTCTATGGACTGCATCCTAGATTGGCCTGGGGTCTTCTGCTCTACCTCCAAGTGGCCCTCGACCACCTGCTTCCTTCAGCCTCTGCCATGCTAGTCTCTTGCCCTCCTTGTCCTCCCCAAGCAGGTCCTGTGTAAGCTCAATTACTGCCAGGATTCAATACAAGAATTTCTTCCCTTTTGCCTAAAGCCCCCTTCTAAGCTCCCTTGATCTGTGGCCTGAAGGCTTCAAGTTGTCCTGTCCAGTCAGATATCTGGCTCCATGCAGAGCTCAGTACCCTGGGGGAGCCCTCGAGCACTCTACCCCTGGATCTATTTGTGGACTGCCTGTCCTGACTCTGTGGGCACCTCAAGGGCAGTCACCTCTGTCCTAATCTTGAACCTTAGTCTGTGACTATTAGGCTCTGGAGGTGGGCAAGGCTGTACTTTTCCTGGTCCAGCATTGAGAGATGGTTTGAAGAAGACTCAAAATGAACCTTTCAATGTTATGCATCCCACCCGAGACAAACAACAACATGAAACGGGAGTGAACGCATTGCACAGACCTGGGAAGCCCTGAGTCCATTAATTCCTAGCTCTCTGACACCAGCCAAATCACTCCTCTGTGCTAAACCTCTGTTTTCCTTTTTCTAAACCGGAAAGAGCACCCATTGCTCTGTCAGAGGAGCGATGATGCATATATAATTACACTGTCAAGTTTCCCAAATGTTAGCCACTTATTTATTATTGTTACACAATTTTTTTTGTGTGACAGCCTCAAGCATCTAAATTATCAATTATTAGTTTTCTTAAAATAAAACTTAAGCCAATTTTTTTAAATAGAGCTTTCTCTTAAACAATACCCAAGAAATCATAGATTTGATATTTTAGCGATTGTTTTCTCCTATGCAAACAAATCCAGTCAGTTCCGAGTTGTCTATGTTTGGCCGGAGTCACTTCATCCCAGCTTTAGGCAGTTGCACTGCGAGACCTCATTCTACATGGAATTTGTTTTGGGTGAGTAACAAGAACTGAACCGTTCAGCAGGGCTTCTGATTTCCCAGCTCTCTTCGCTGTCGTCCTCCGTGTCGCTCTTCCCAGCTTACTCTTAATGCCTCACAGGTGGCCAGCATGACCTCATGTCTGGTTTGGGATCATGGAAACGGTGATCTGTGCTCCCAGGCAAGAGTTGATACTGTTTGCTTGAAGTGACGGACTGACAAGAGACTAGGGGCATTTTTGGCGGTCCAGGGAGTGAAGGGCAGCTTCGTCAGCCGTGTTGGGAGAGAACAATAGAGAATCTGCCTAGCAGGAACCTCCTAGCAAGCTAACCAGGCCACCATGCTCCACTCCAGAACTCAGTTGCCCCCAGGAAAGTTCCACCTTTGGCAAGCCTTGGATCCCATATCTGCTTTAGTTACTGTGGGCATGCTGACACAGACCACTCCCGGCAGAGACAACAGTTAGACTTTGGATCAAGAACACAGGGTCTCCGTAGCCCAGAGCCCGCATGGTTCCTGGCTGAGAAGAAGTGACCACTGTCTTCCAGCCCAGGAGCCATGAGCTGCATGGAAAGAATGTGGATGAAGACACCATTCTAAATGTAGACTCATGGGCGCTATGTGAGCCACTGTGCTCTGAATGGTCTAGAAAAACAAGGCCTGCTTGTCCGTTCAGAGGAGCATAAATAAAGTTGTCCTCAGGCAGTGTGCTACTATGTTCTGTCCCTGCAAGGACGGCTCTCAGCAGGCCTCAGGAACATAGCAGGACAGAGTGCCTGCTTAATGGCAGTAGAGAAAATGGCCGAGCTGTGGCCTTGATGCATATGATGGTCACTAGCTTCACCTGACATCAGTTTTAACCTGTGCTATACCTGTATAACTAGACCTGTGCAAAAGCGGGGACCGAGGGCAGTGCAGGGTGGCTCTTGTAGCTGATTTCTGGCTCTGGTTATTTGAAGCTCACATCCCTGCAAAGATCAGGCGGTAACTCACCCGATTCTTCTACCCCTGTGACCTGGACATAGGAAACATTTCTTTGCCAGCACCAAGCTTTCCTTGGGCATCATTTCTGTCAATGTCTTTATGAGCCTGGGGCATCTTATTGACTTGATAATAAAATGAAAAGCTAGCCAGCCCACACAGAACACTTGCATTGTGCCTGGTACCATTCAATGTCCTTACACTAGTGAGTTCACAATCCCAGAGCTTCAGGAGGAGATAAGAAAAAAAGACACTCACCCTGCCCATAGTGAAGTGTAGCTGGGTCACACCTCCTAAAGGCTCCATAGCCTTTTGAGTTGTGCCACAACTGGGCTTGTTGGTTCAAGCCTGTAAAGCTTAGGCAACAGGTTCACAAGTTTAAGGCCTGCCTGGGTTACAGAGTGAGTTCAAGACTAGCTTAGACAACTTAGTGAGCTGCTGTCTCAAAATTAAAATAAAAAGATGAAGAAAGGCAGTACCTAGCCTGTATGAGGCCCTAGGTTTGATCCCCGCACAGGACTGGGGGCGGGGTCAAGACACACCAAACAGCTGGGCTAGAATGCTCAAAACATGAGCCCATGTGGCACCTTTCAGATTCAGACTCTAATAGTCTTTCAGGACATGGATCTGTATGGATGTAGAGGGATGCTGACTGCTTGCTAAACTCAGAATGAGGGCTCCGTTAGTATCTCACAGTCTGAAAACAGTAGACCCATGTGGCTAAGGACTCTTCCACGGGCTGCTGCTCTTCCTGCCTGGACATAGCTGGGGCTTGTCATCGATGGAGGGACTTGTTGGCTTGAGGGTGAGACAGCCTCCCCAAGGCTTAACCTCCAGGGTTCCTTGGTAAGGACTTCACAATGAAAGTTTGTGAAGTGTGTGTGTGTGTGTGTGTGTGTGTGTGTGAGAGAGAGAGAGAGAGAGAGAGAGAGAGAGAGAGATATCCCGTGACACATAAGCACTTCAGTCATGTCCTATGTTCATCACATTGTGATAGATGATCTACAATGTACAATGACCCTGCTTGGAATTTTCCAGTTTATATCTGTGACAACATGGCATGTACCTGGTGGTATGAATGCTGATCACCAGGTTAGTAGCATCTGGTCTCACTATTGTGGAGGTGCTGGGCAGGGACAAGAAGCTGTACTTCTCAGCCAGTCATGAAAGGAGCACCCCACATGACTGTGCATGTTGAAACTTGTTTTGCAGCTGATGAATTTCGGCTTACCATGTGCTTGTTGGACCATAACGTCATTGTACGTTGGGGAGCATCATGCTTGGGATATTGTGGATTTAAAAAAAACCTATTATTAGACCTTGCTTCCACGAAGCTGGTACAAAACTGATCTTATAGCATCCAAGACTGCCTGCACATAAGGCATGGACCACAAAGCATAGGTGAGCGCTGGCTGCCCCCACAGGTATTTCAGCTCTGTTCTGCAGAACAACTACAGGGAGAGAAAAGTCACTGTCTAACTGACCGTCACCCATTTCTATGGAGACAGGATTGTTTTTAACCTCTCTCCTGCCTCGGATCCTTTGTTCCCAGTAGGTTCTCTGTGTAAGAGCACTTTGCCCTGATCTTTCTACTTCTCACCTCTATAGTCTTTGTAGAGCCCTTGAGAAGCTCCCAGGGCTCTTCATAGCCAAGCTACCAGCATTGTAGGTTTTGACCTCAGAGGTTTAAGGCATTTCTTCCCAGGCCACCAACCGCTGACCAACCTAGGCACCTGCTTTGATTCCTTCTCCACTTGGTGCCTCCAGATCTCTGCAAGTATCTAATGAGACAGAACATGTGGTTACACTGGCATTAAATCATGGCTAGGGAAGCCAGGTCATGACATTATTTGTCATAATAAGACTGCTCTGGCTATGTCCTAGTTAGGGTGATGGCAGATCTGCTGTGAATGGCAATCTTAGGAGTTTGTGCTGAGGAATTATCAAGAAGCTGCATGCCTCTTTGCCTTGGAGTACTAACTGTAGAGAGAGACAAAGGCCTCCTCTCTGACCTTGTAGCTTCTAATTCTGAGGACAAGGGAGAGAAATGTGGTTTACTGTCAATTCAAGGAGGGGGCTGTGAATGAATGCCACTTTTGTCCTCGTTGTTCTAAAAGACAACATAAATAGACAACAACCAGAAATGGTTACCAGTGGAGAAGGAATGGGACAGGGTGAGGGGAGAGGGATGGAAGTTAGACGGCTCAGAAACTGCCCTTTCTTGGGTACCTTTAGTTTGGAGACATGAAAATACTTTATGGAATTATACACTAATTTTTTTACACTAAATATCTTTATATTTAGTGTAAAAATTATACACTAAATATTTTTATATTTTTATAAATTGACATGCCAACATGTGCCAGCTAAATCCACATAAAACCTGAGAAATCTTAAAAAGGAATTCTAGACTCAAAAGAACAGAGTTAAGCATGGCTTTTGGTAGCAATATTTTCTCTGGTGAGCTGTTTGTTAGAAGCAAGCAGAGGCACAATTCTTTTAAGAGAAGGCTTCCTGACTCAGCGGTAGCAGCAACAATTGCATGGCTCCTTTAAGAAGGCTTCCGCATTTGTGCTAGTTTCTAGCACAAATGTTTCTGAACCTCTTTTGGGAGGTCCAGCTATGGAACATTTACTTGGGGTTTGTGAGCAGAGTGCTACAAAATTTGCCTAATGGCAACATAGACCAGCTGTGTGCCTGAAAATGGGTCTGTGAACATGGCTTGCACTGAACAAACCTCTGCCATGTTTGACTGGGTAGAGCCAAAAGTCAAAGCAACCTTAGTCCTAGTAATACCACTTAGCATTTTTAGAAGTGCTCCTGGACAGAAAAGGATTTCAGATGTACAATAGGACAGATTCAGACATGAAAAACCTCTAAACAAGACACAG